TATCATCAATAAGAGTACAGAGGAATAAAATTTTAATTCATGCAAGCTTTCAAGTTAAACTTTCAGCTGTCGAACTGTTAACTTTTTAACCAGTGATATTTTATGGACTTTCTTAAGTAGCCAATCAAAACGCGAGTAAAGCTATTGACAATGTTCGCGTCATTTAAATAAAATTCACTTATCTTCGTTTACGGCAAGTTTACGGCGTCTTTTCCCCTGCGGCTCGTGGTTCCACAGCCACTACGACGATGTTATGACGCAATTTATCATCAATAAGAGGACAGACGCATAAAAAACTGACGTCAATTTGTTAAATTGAAGATGTTTATAGCAATAATATGCAAATCATTCCTCACACTTCCCACTTGTATTATACGGCAGGCTGCGTGATTCCTCTTTAATCTTTTCTGATGACTGCGTAAATGTCACAATAATAAATTCATTTCCTAGAATTTGTCCCACCAAAAGCGGTCATTTTTTCCCTCTTTCGGGTCGTTAGTCAGAGCAGCCTTACCAACAACAATGTTTAACTACACAATTTACAACAGAAATGAACTTCCGATCGATTGAAACTTTACAATCCGTTACTCAGTCCAATCGTACAGCTTGATACTTACAATGAATATGGAAAACACAGGTTTGATTTCAAAAATCACGAGCGAACAAGTGATGGAAGCTATAACAACGCGGGGAAAGCAGGAGATGACGTACTGCATCGAGAAACAACAGGAGATAATCATAAATCAATAACAGTTTATTCGTGTTGTATCACTGACAAAGAATTTTCCGACTGACTGAGCGCAGGCCAATATTAATGCTCACAAACGTTAACATAAAATGTAAACACAATAACCGGGTCACGAATAGATTGGTATTTCGGGGAATATATCGTAGTTAGTTTAATTGATTCACTCATGACTTCCCATATTTCCTTCACCAGCTAGAGTCGGGCTTGATGAATACTTTCCAGTTCTTAAATATCTCAAATCCTTGACGTCTTCTAACTGTTCACCAAATGGCTTTTTACTGGTTAATTTGCGTGTTTTATGAATGCTGTCTACATTTATCGGAGTGAGCCTGGCCGGCGAAGAATGTTTTCTGGCTGTTTCCATTCCAAAAGCGAAAAATTGTGTTTTGCCTCCGTTTCCCAGAAGCCTTTCTTCTTCATCATCACTTCGACTTTTTGTGAGGGAGTCAGCAGTTGCCTGCGATGGCGGATCTATTGCGGACAGACTTCTTGGTCGACCACAGTTGAAATTCATTCGTTTTTCAGTTAATGTTTCTTGGTCGTTTAAGTGTTCCCAGGACTTCTGCCTTGACATAGTTCCTAGCGTTTCTCGGTCGTGTACGTCGAGTGTGTGTGACAGATCCGAGAACGATTTGGACCTTCTTCTACCAATTCGGGTATGTGAATTTTCGATTAAAGCCGGCAGTACTGTCCTATGTCTTTCGGCGAGTGGAGAATTCGGTGGCGTTAGGAATGGAGGGCGAATTGATTCACTTTCATCCTTGGACACTTTGATGGCTGGAAGTTTGGTCTTCATAAGACGAACAAATCGTGCTTGCTCGGCATTAAGATTGCTGCGTTTTGCCCTGTACTCGCTTTCAAGGGTTTCATACGTAGATTTCAACGTTTCTGATTTCCCTCGGTTTGTAGCAAGAGCTCTCTTAGAAGTCTCGGTTAAATCAGATTGATGTCGATTCAACTCCATGAACTGCAAACGTTGCTCATTAGAGGAGGTACAAACGCGATGAAATATGTTTCGCAACTTTTTCAAGTTTCTACGGACAGCGACTTCAATCGCGTGATGACTGAACGAGATATACTATGGTCTACTGACCAAACGGAAAATTTTAATTGGGGGCAAACGATTAGATATGATTAAAGGCACGTTTACCCCTTCTGGAGTCATACAATCTCTTGGCTCTCTTTCCTTGTCACGAAATACTGTTTTCAGTCAATCTACACCTATTTTTCAAGTTATCACACGTACAACTGAAGACATGCGTCCTTGTGAGGTATAAAAACCGCTTTCCGTCGATTGCATGTAAGAGAGACTAAATGAGTTTTAACTGATCGCTGAGATAGCTGGAAATATGTTCAAAATGCTAACTGTCAGCTTAAAAGTGACGCGTTTGTAACTGAGAACTCAACTGATAACTAAAGCTCGAGATCTGCATCATTTACTGATAGCTGAGAAACTGGCTGGAATTTTAACTGTAGCTGAAAAATCGCTCAATATTTTAGTGATAACTAAGATTCCAGTACTCCACATCCCGCACCTCTTGTAACACTAATTTATGCATGTATATATGTACTTAAAAAAAACATTAACAACTTATAGATTTATAAATATCATACTCTCAACTGTAGCGGTCAATTAGTTGAACTTTAAGTGGCTCATGGAAGAACTTGATTGAGATACTCAGTCAAGGACTTGCCAACATCAATGACCTTGACGGTTTACCTTATTCACATTGTGCTTGTTTTGCCATCTTG